TGAATCTCTTCTTTATATTTTTCATTGTCTAAAACGACCACAGCACCCCCCTTGTCTGCAGGTTTGATAACTAAAGATGAGTCTTTCATTAGTTAATTGAGTGCCATTGGTTTTACAGACGTTTTTAATACGTTTTATGTACACACTTTATTAGAATATTTATGCAATGCACATTGTTATATTTGGTAACACATTTGTGTGTGTGTGTGTGCAGTAATATGTGAATAAACATGTGCTTATGTGTGCAAGTATATATGTCTGTTCATGTATATAACTGAATAATATACAGCATATGTGTTCTGTTTGGTGCCTAAAGCCCCTCATTGCCAAGCATGGGGTGAAGGAGACAGAAGGGAGGGAGGGAGGGGTAGCAGGCAGGGTGAGTAGATCCGGAGCTAGGGTGGTGATAGTGAGGGTAGGTAAACACATCACAGAACACCTGAGAACATTCACATTTACATTTTAGTCATTTAGCAGACGCTCTTATCCAGAGCGACTTACAGTTAGTGAGTGCATACATTTTCATACTGGCCCCCCGTGGGAAACGAACCCACAACCCTGGCGTTGCAAGTGCCATGCTCTACCAACTGAGCTACACAAGATACAATGTAAATGCATGGTCTCCATGGACACAGCAAAACCCTGAGGACATCACAAGACTACTGCCAAGTCTCTCCCGTGTCGGCAGGAAAGCGAGCCATCTCTTTGTTGTGTAATTCCCTCTCCCTGGAGCTCCAACGACTGTGTTGCGTGTGCGCGTACACTCTTAAAAATAAAGGTGCAAGTTGGACCCAAATAAGTTTTTGAGAGCGATGCCATAGGGAAACCATTTTAGGTTTTGTGAAGAACCATAAATGGGATGGTTCTTTGAATAGCCATACAAAAATCCCAAACCAGATATGTTTTGGCCCTCCAGGACCGGAATTGAATAGCCCTGCTGTAGGGTTTTAAGCCTTATTTGCATATTTCCCAGTGTGCCTTTCGAGTTAGACTTAGAGTTTCCAGTACCACCCATGACTGTGTTCACTAGTGATAGAGACATGGTTGTTGCCGTCATTCATTTTCAGTCCTGTGGCCTTCACCAAGTGAGATCCTAAGTGAATATATTGTAATTCAAATGTAATTATTTAAGAGAATACATATTTCATACAGCCTTCTTTTGAGGGCCTAATTTTACCCTAATACAGTGGCCTGAAACTCATAGTTTTCAGGCCATATCAGGCTTGCAAGTCACATGATTGAAAATCATCCTATTGGAATCCAGCCAGAGTGGGGATATCCAACATGCAACATGCGTTCAGAATGACTGCCAGGGTTGGGAAGACTAAAATATGAGACTACCTTAAACATCTGAACTATCACCATTTCAGTAACAGTTGCAATAAATCCAAGTAACAGATTGGAAGTTTAGAAAAATGTATGCTATTTATAGTTGAGTAGCATAAGATTAATTAAGCAATCAATGCAAAAACATAGATATTGAAACAAACAATTCTACCTGCAATAGAGCATGCTGGGAAATAATGGGCGTGGTTTTGGTTCAACTCTGGACATTAACACCAACACTGGGGTTCTTTAACACCACTGAGTGTTAATTGTTAACTGAAAAATCAACAATTTGTTGTGTGCTATGAAATGGACACATCTGCAGGCATCTTCCATACATTTAAAGAACCTTTTAGAATTTTGAAGAACCGTAGATGCCACGTCAAGAACCCCACACTTAACTCAAAGGTTCTTTATTGGGCAAGAGTTCTCCAAGGAACCTTAAGAGCTGAGGAAGAACCATTTAAGAACCTTTATTTTTTTTCAGTGTAGCATAGGAGGCTGGTGGGAGGAGCTGGAATGGAAACAATGGAATGGTACAAAACACATCAAACACATGGATAGAATGTGTTTGACTCCGTTCCATTGATACCATTCCAGCCATTACAATGAGCCCGTAGTCCTATAGCTCCTCCCACCAGCCTCCTCTGGTGTGTAGAGCCGTCAGCACTGAGCTCTAAAGAACATGCAATGCTAGCGAGATCCATAGTACAGCTGGGTTTGACTGGGAAACTGGACTGTGAACGGGCATTTAGTGTACGTCAGGTGTCAAGTGCCTTGCCCCTCCGCCTCTTAAGTGCAAACACACTATAGAGCCTTCATTGCATCCCTTTTGTCAGCATTGTCAAGTGCTTTCCACTGGTCTCAGGGTCATTCTCTAGTTCCCAGCAGATGAGTCAGGTTATAGTGAAGTGTTGGCCCACTCTACTGATGATGGCCTGTGAGCTAACAGGGGCCTGAGAACGCGTCTGCTTCCAGCCTGGGTAGAATAGATCTCTACTCAGGGGTATTTGAGGCCTAAATGAGGCCCTTGTCCATTTCCAGTAAACAGGAAGAGAAAAGAGACAAAAAAGCTTTCATAAATCTTGTTCCTGTGCAAAAGAGAAAGTATACTGTCTCTAGGTTGCAGTCCATCCAAAGGTTTTATTGAACTTCGATCTCCTTCCAAGTATCCTTTGTACAGGCTGTTCCTGCCAGGGCAGTGAGGGTCCAAGGGAAAGCTATGGCCAGAATGTCATTGTTGCCAAAAGTAGGTTTTCTACAATGTGATGCAGAGGAGGCTGGTGGGAGGAGCTATAGGAGGACAGGGTCATTGTATTGGCTGGAATGGAATCAATGGAAATGAGTTATATATATATATATATATATCTATATGTTTGATGTGTTTGATAACGTTCCATTTATTCCATTCCAGCCATTACAATGAGCCCTTCCTCCTATAGCTCCTCCCACCAGCCTTCTCTGATGTGATGTATCTAAGCATGCGTATGCAATATTGTAGGTGTCGTCGAAGCACCTCCAAAGATTCTTCCTATCATATTCCTGTGCAATCAAAGATCTCACTGTCAATTCCATTTCATATTGTCATGAGGCCACAATTGTTTTTGAATCTCAAACAGTATATGCAGCGATGGATTGTGTACCTTTCATAAGCTTTGAAGAGCAATGATAATAATGGCACCCCAGCCTAAGTATCACCAGTAACACCAGCTTATTCTCATTCCCAGAATCCTTATGACTCATAACACGAGTGCCTATCAGCCAACCACAGACACAGCAGCTCCCCCAACATGGTAGAAATACATCTTCATCTGTTCATCTTTCAGACAGTGTGTGTGTGTGTGTGTGTGTGTGTGTGTGTGTGTGTGTGTGCATGCAAGAGAGAGAGAGAGTGTGTGAGAAGAAAGGGCAGGGTCGGGTAAGATATATGTATAGCAGAGAACAATGGACAAACACACACACACACACACAATATTTCCCCTTGGTGTGTGCTTTGATCTTTGTGTGTATCTTTCCAGACAAGCTTGATCCCTCCGCCCACCTAGGAGGCTGTAACCTCAGTCTGATGTGGCTATGGCTGGTCCTCCTATAGACGACTATACTGAGGAATTACTCACTCTACCATTACATCTCATGGTTCATCAGTTATTACAGTGAGACAGCTCCTTTGTTCTCAGGAGGAGGAAAACGATCTATATGTGCATACAAAATGTCACTCTATTCCCTATAGTGTGCTACTTTTGACCAGGGCACAAGGGGCTCTGGTCAAAAGTAGTACACTATGTAGGGAATAGGGTGACATTTTGGATGAAATTTGGAAGATATATTTTCTGGTTTCTATAGTGATATGTGTGGTTGGTCGTGATTGGGTAAATTACAGTTTGAATGATCCAGGAGATTTCTATATCTATGTGTTTATTGTGTCCCATTATATGAACATATATATTACAGAATCAATCATGCACATAGTCATAAAAAATGATCATACAAAATGTGTGATGAGCTTGTGGGCTTGTTCTGTAGTATTTTTTATTAATTTTTTTTACATGTGGTGGACATCTATTGTAAGTACACCGGTAATAGAGGAAGTGAAGTGAGCATAACTTTGGTGTGTGTGGATCCCCAGTCACTCTGGCCGTGAGTTTTTGGCTGAGCCTGTCTCAGAGCATCCCTCCATAGAAATTGATGTTTTGATACATCCACCCTATGGCTAAATGTGTCTCCGTCAATTACTTCCCTTATTTTCTCTTTAAATACAAGCAGAGGGGTCAACACTTAAATGATTAACTACATTCTACATACTTTATTAACTGGGTCGGCATATAAGAGGGAGCTGTTCTCTCTCTCATCTCTATTTATTAGAATCACATGGGTCTCCTTTGAATTAATACTGGATGAAAGCTCACAGAACCACACTCTCAGTGATCAACACCAATCAGACCACTGTGTCTTTACACACACACCCACATATCTTTAATAAAAAAAATGGCTTTGCTGTCCTTCTATACAAAATGTACATCACTTGAGCCACGTGCAGAGCCATAATAATAATACATTACATTTTAGCAGACGCTCTTATCCAGAGCGACTTACAGTTAGTGTGTGCATACATTTTTTTTTTTTTATACTGGCCCCCCGTGGGAATCGATCCCACAACCCTGGCGTTGCAAACGAGCTGAGCTACATCCCTGCCGGCCATTCCCTCCCCTACCCTGGACGACTTGTGCGCCGCCCCATGGGTCTCCCGGTCGCGGCCGGCTACGACAGAGCCTGGATTCAAACTAGGATCTCTAGTGGCACAGATAGCACTGCGATGCAGTGCCTTAGACCACTGCGCCACTCGGGAGATTATATATTATATATACATACATATCATAGAAGAGTTTAATTGTCTTTAGGACAGCTGTTTTTTTAGAGTATGTAAGTAGTTTTGTCTGAAACTTTGTTCCCCCTGCTGCTGTTGGACCTGGTCTCTCTTGAAAAATAGATTTTATCTCAATGAGAAAAACCTGTATAAATAAATGCTAAATAAAATTAAAATTAAAATATCAAATAATACAATGAATACCAGGTTTTCCCAGAGGCCTGGGGGAACTGGGTTTCAAGTCGTTTTCAAGTCTGTAGCACCAGGTTGAAGGTAAAGCCTGAACACTGAAGTACTGTGCTGAGTGGAGGGTATACCTGATCAGGCTGTGTTAGGGCCCCCTAACATCAGTGCACTGCCCTGTGCAGTCCAGCGTTACTCTGCTCTTTACTGATCACACTCCCTGCCTGTGTATGACAAAAAGAGGGACAGCGGGAGAAGGAAGGAGGGAAAGGAGAATGGAGAAGATGCTGGCAAATAAAAGGAACAGGTGGAATAATGATGAAGAGAGAGATTGGCAAAAAAGAGGGTGTAGTTGGTTGAAGAGAGGGAGGAAAAGAGAGATACAGGGTGGGTCACACCCTGGTGATCTCACTTCATATGGCTCTCTATCCAGTCTTTGAAGTTGGCCACATGTGTGTACACAGTAAACAGGTCCGGGTCACACTCTCCCTGGTCATACCCAAAACTCACCAACCCCAGCAGCCGCCACTCCCCTTTGGACTTGTCCCGCCCCCCTGGAGAGGCAAGAGAGGGGTCCTGGGCGGAGCCTGTCTGGGCAGGAAGGATCAGGATACCCCCTGTGTCCGCGGGACAGATGTTAGATGGGCCGTAGTCGGGTCGCTGCCGGCCGCAGAGCATGTTGTCTGTGACGCTCACAGGCACACCATTACGGGCGTACTGCTGCTCGCAGGGCACCACGTCGGCCAGGTGCTGCACACCCACCCTGGCCCTCTCCTCTTCCCCAATCTGTGGGTCCGGCAGGGGGGCCCAGCCCGTCACAAGCCCCTCTCTGGAGGTCACCTCTCCCCCCTGGGTGTCAGGCAGGCAGAGGGGCTGGACCTTCTCCCCGATACGAGCCTTGTCCAGCAGCTTGATCACGGCCAAGTCTGAGTCCAAGACCAGGGGGTCGTAGTTGTGGTGGACAGAGATGGAGGCCACCTGGAGGAGAAGATGCGGGATGGTTAGAGAGACATAAAATAAATGATCACAAGGTAGACAGAGAAAATAAACTGGTCAGAGTAAGAAACAAGAAAGGAGGTATGGTCAGCGAGACAAGGGATGGTCAGAATGAAGACGGAATGATGATGAGAGAAAGGAGGGATGTTTAGAGAAAGAATAGAGAGAGAAAGGTGGTGTGACAAAAATAAAAGCTGTAGAGAGAAGAGAGAGCCTGTGCCAAACGGAACAGCAGGGTGACAGCTTGCCTCTCTGTGGGACGATAGTAGCTGGGCTTGTTACCTGGCAACTCACACTCCTCACTCATATGCTCATACATTAATTGACTGTCCTTTATGTACTATTACAAACTGGGTGGTTCGAGGCCTGAATGCTGATTGGCTGACAGCCGTATACCACGGGTACGACAAAACATTTATTTTACCGATCTAATTACGTTGGTAACCAGTTTATAATAGCAATAAGGCACCTCGGGGGTTTGTGGTATAAGGCCAATATAGATTTTAGTCATTTAGCAGACGCTCTTATCCAGAGCGACTTACAGTTAGTGAGTGCATACATTTTTCATATACCACGGCTAAGGGCTGTATCCAGGCACATAAGAACAGCCCTTAGCCATGGTATATTGGCCATATACCACACCCCCTCTGACCTTATTGCTTTATTAAACCATATACAGTAAACTGCAAAATGGAAAATAAGCTACTGTGTATGTTGGATAGATCCAGACTAGCAATGTAGCACAACCACGTTGGTGTTTACTTACAGTCAATGTAGCTTTCTGGGACCTATTCAATGACTGAACATAAACAAACATGGGGCTGTATTACATGGCTAGATGTGGTAGACATGACGTCATGTTTGTAAAAGGCTGCATTATAATTGGACACAGGTTTAAAACCCCTGCCACCCAGCCATTAGTATTATATAGATCCCATAGGCTGGTAAATAGACCTATATAGTGTGTTACCTCATGTGTGGTGAACTGTACACCATAGTTGTATTTCAGTGTAATTAGTGCAGTGTGTGGCTAACTGAGTACAGGTGGTCTCCCTAGCCTATATAGTATAAACCCCTTTCATTCCTTACTTGCCACCCCTACCCACCAACCCAGTTAGCCCTCTCCAAACCCTTTCTCACTCCCTATTCACGGCCCCCAACCCCCTCAGCCCTATCCAACCCCTCTCTTACCCTGAGATGCTGCAGGCCCTTGGTCTCCCGGAGGTCACTGCGGTAGTGTTTTCCCATCACCACCTTGACCTTGGCTGCATCCAGAGGGTACAGCTTCCCCAGCTCAGTCACACAGTGGGCTGCCACCACCACACTCCGCTGGTTCACCAGGGCCCCGCTACACACCAGCTGCCAGCCTGAGGCCTCGTCCTGTCCCTGGAACCCAGCCCCTGCTCCTGGTCCAGCTCCAGGCCCCATCTTTAGTGACCCATCCAGGCTGGCCTTCTTGTCCAGCTTGGTCCCTGCTCCGTTGGTGGAGCGTCGGTAGATGGCGGCTAGCCAGGGCCAGTGGGACTCTGCTGGGCTCTGAGGGTCAAATGTGGGGTGCTTCCCACACACTGGGAAAAGAGAAGGATGGAGAGACAAGGGTGGAGAAGAGGAAAGTGTGGCCAGGGAGGAGAAGGGTGGAAAGAAAGAGAAGAAAGAGAATAAACATCAGACCTGCCAGAGTGATAAAACAACACTTGATATTGTAATGTATGGAAAACTTATTCCATATCATACCCACCCTGGAATATTCGTTTTTCAGTCCAATTTCCTTGATTGTTTAGTGTCTGGGTGTGGTTTGAATGTGCCATTCTAGCACGCCTAAGCGGCAAGAAAAACCTTTCTTTATATCAAGTAATGTGGCTCTGCTGTCCTCACCTGGCGAGCAGGAGACATGACGCCCACTCCACTTGCCAGTCTTGAGGCAGGTGCGGCGTGCGCTGCCTGAGTGGTGATAAAAGGGAGAGGCACACTCGTACTCTACGTGAGTGTAGAGGTGGTGGAAGCCCTGGGGCAGCTGGGATAGCACTGGAGGACCTTTGGTGGGGCCGGCGGACTGGAACAGCCTCCCGAACCCAGAGGAGGAGTAGAGCTTATGCACAGGGGTCTTCCTGAGAGGGAGAGAGGAGAGGGGTCCTTGGAGATGCCTTTACAGAAACAACTAGTGTATAATGTTCTTTAAGAGGCTAGCGGTGTGTATAAGTAGAGTCCTTTTAGGTTTTTAAATGGCAAACCTTTATGTGGGCTTCACATGGTAAAGTGCCTCTGTCACTAAAGGATAGAGCTATGTCTTCTGCTATGCTGTGTGCATTAATGAGGGTCATACATAATATTCATGGTCTGTTGTGGTGTGTGTATGATGTTGATATATGATTATGCACATGTTTTATATGTATGTGGTTTTGAAAAATGATGATTGCTAAGGTAATGCGGATATGTGTAGTGTTGGTGAATGCTTACGTCTGTCGTATTTACTGTATGTAGACTATATAATGTGCATATTTGTGTCTGCTATGTAACATAATATGTTAATGTAAATCATTAGACATACCTGGATGGAGCCTGTGGAGGCAGAACTCTCTGTCTTACCAGCTCGGAGACCTTCGGCTCTCTGCAGGCTGCAGACAAACATACACAGGGTTCCCATTAAAACCTACTGTCAGGCAGGGAGCTGCTCTCATTCTCAATGTTGGGTTGATTAGAGGCTGCTAAAGGTAGTGCCTAACTGACAGGTGCAACAGCATATCCCTAGATGATAATCACAAAGTAGAGGCACACACACACCCATGCACACACGCTTGCGCGCAATCACACACAAACACACACATTCCAGTGCCTACCTCTCACACAAAAGGGTTGAGCGCCCCCCCAGGAGCCGCCAGGCTGGCAGGAGCGTCGGGCGTCACCACTCAGAGCGTACGAGTGGTTACAGAAGAACTCCACCGTCTCTGGCACCATCCCTGGCACCACCTGCTGGTACCCATGGTAGAGCCGTGGGAGAGGAGGACAGCTCTTCTCTGGAAGGAGGGAGTAAGGGAAAGAGAGCAGGTGGCGAGAGCGGAAGATAGAGAGATGGAAAGGGAGCGAGAGAGTGTGAAAGAAAATCTAAGATGTTGAGAGTCATTTTAATATCTGTTTTAATTGTGCAGTGTATTTTACAACATGCACCTAAGGTGTTGGGGTGATTCTGAGTCTTACCATTGATGATTTGGTTCTCTCTCTTCTCATACTCAGACTCTTCTTTAGATGGTTTTTCTGAATCTTTTCCTGTATTTTCCTCTTCAGGTTTACTTGTACTTGCCACTGTGTCTTTGGCTCCTCCTGAATCTTTAGTTGATCCTATGTCTTTGCGTGGTTTTTCCACAGGCCTTTTGGTGTCCTGACCTCCTGATGAATATGGGGCGAACTGTGTGTTGTTGCTTCTAGCTGGAATAATACTCTTCACAATGTCTTTAGACACTGTTGTATTCATACCATGCTCTATGTCATTGGTGCCAAACACATCCGTAACAGTGTAATCTATGGCAAATGTGTCTCCCCTAGGTTTTATCTCAGTGTAATCTATGGCAAATGTGTCTCCTCTAGGTTTTAAGTCATTAGGATCAACTATGTTTGGATCACTGCTTGTATCTACCGGTTGCTCTTTCTTCTCCTCTTCCTCCTGTCCTTTATCCTCCACCACCATTATCTCAGGAACCTCTGTTGTCTTTCCTATCTCCCGTATCACGTCTGTGTCTCCCCCCGTATCTGGACTGCCATCTGTGTCCGCTGTGGTTTTCCCCAAGTCATTTTCTCTCTCTCCCTCCACTGTGTTTAACATGTCATCTGTTTCTTCACTGTCCACTTTATCCTTGCTACCTCCAGTAGTTTTCTCTAGCCCTGTTTCTTTTTCTTTGTCACTCATTTGATCCTTTCTTCCTCCTGGGATATTCACCAGAGTAATGTCTATGTTTTATCTTTACCGTCTCTAATGTCCACTGTCGTGTTCCTCAGGCCTGTGTCTGGATCTTTACCAGCCACGTCCTCCTTGATACCTTTAGTGTTGTCTATTTCTTTGTCTTTGGGTTTTTCTATGTCTTTATGTGGGGCTGAGTCAGTGTCTTTGTCTTTTTCTGCATCATTTTCTTTGTCCTTCTCTGTATCTTTGCCTGATTCAGCAAGTGTATTATTCACTGTAAGAACAAGAAGAGAGAAAAAAAGTGAATTACTGGATTTAAATTGTTGTAAATTAGTGTTGTTATACAGTTGACTAATGATTCTGAATGGTTGTACACATTTTACTAGTGAAATATGATCAATTTCACGCAGGCTTGGTCACGTAGCACATAGTCATTTTACAATAATAATAGGACAACTGTTGATGTCTGTCAACACCTGTTCCCACTGTCTCCAAACTCTTATTCCTGTCATGCCATGCTCTGACACTAACCTTTGCCACAGGTGGGAAGTGTTCCGCTCCAGGTGTTGTTGGGCAGACAGGTTCTCTGGTGTGTTCCGCTCAGCTTGTAGGGCTGGTAGCACAGATACTGCAGGGCGAGGATGACGTCATTGGGCCCGTACACCAGGAAGTGGTCTCCATGGACAGGCTTAGCTGGGATGGCACAGAACTTCACCATGGGCACTGCAGAGGAACACAGAGATCAAGTAGGCTCAGTGAAGATGGGATTGAGGTGGTCAGACACTATTGCATAATTTTTCAGATGAGTTGTAAATATGTATATTCCTCAGAGTAGCTGTTGTGTCAGTAAGTCTCAAATGTTATTGTATAAAACAAACCTACAGCGTTAATGTCACTAAGGTCAATCAGGTTAGATTTTTCACAAAGCGCCCAAATATATACTGAGTGTACAAAACATTGGGAACACCTTCAGAATATTGAGTTGCACCCCTTCTGCCCTCAGAACAGCCTCAATTCGGCAGGTCATGAACTTGGTGGATGTCCTTTGGGTGGTGGACCATTCTTGATACACACAGGAAACTGTTGAGCGTGAAAAACACAGCAGCGTTGCAGTTCTTGACACATACCCCGCTCAAAGGCACTTCAATCTTTTGTCTTGCCCATTCACACTCTGAATGGCACACATACACGATCCAAGTCTCAATTGTCTCAAGGCTTGAAAATCCTTCTTTAACCCGTCTCCTCCTTTTCATCTACACTGACTGAAGTGGATTTAACAAGTGACATCAATAAAGGATCATAGCTTTCACCTGGATTCACCTGGTCAGTCCATGTCATGGAAAGAGCAGGTGTTCCTAATGTTTTGTACACTCAGTGTATATTGTGCCCCTCTCTCTCACTGGCCTCTTACCACACTGGGGGGCAGGGGCGCTCCAGGTGCCATCCCGGAGGCATACGACTGTGCGGATCCCCCTCAGCTCGAACCCGGGGTCACAGCTGAACGTGACTTGTGCCCCTGAGTGATGGAATACCCCCTCTGTGGAGCCATGGACAGGTACTGGGGGCCTCCGACAACCTACAACTAGAGGGATACACACAAACCCATACACACACATACACAATTACACACAACCCTTCTCATGCATTCTGAACACGTTTCATCTTCTGTCCACTATAATGCTACCAATCTTATGCCAGCCATAAACACAACTTCAGTGTGTTCACTGCTGTGTGATACAGTATTAGCATTTTGTTGTCTGGTATAAACACAACTCTTTCTGAATAGCCACCTACTGCCTAAGGGCTCTTAGAACCCAGTTCATCATTTACAAACCCATTCTTCCTCCTCAGAAATACCTCTTTGACTAGCTAGAAGTTTATAAATATAGCCTCCACATCGTACTGCCTTATTAATAGATCATTTCAGCAGGCCTGGAAAAAGTCTGAACAGCTCTCAAGGCGACGTACAGAGGAAGAAATAGAAAACTCCTAGTAAAAATAAGCTTTAGTCAAACTGTTCAATTTTCCACAGCAGTGAAGTGTTTTTATGATGTGGGTTGGTAGCGTGGGGCTTGGGTTGATGTGGAATGGAATAGTGGGTGTAATTGTTCAGACAATGCCCGGCTTTGAAACAGAGAACTTGATTGACACAAAAAGCACACATCAATTTGTAATTCACTATCGGTTCCCCTCTCTCTGGTCCGGAACAAAGCAAAATACCAAGCACACACATATCTGCACGAACACACACACACAAACCCCCCCACATACACACACGTGTACAAGGGGTGTGTATGTGTAGGGCTTGTTATTATGTGCATCATATCACTCTGTAATGGGGGATACACAAGCATTTCGCTACACCCGCAATAACATCTACTAAATATGAGTATGCGACCAATAAAATGTGATTTGATTTTGATGTGATACAGTATCCCCTCTTGGGACCATACTGTGTCATAGGACCAGCCCCATGCTTCTCTCCCTCTCTCTGGCCATGGTCTGACAGCAGTGTGATCCAAAACCATCAGAGGAACCCTCCCTATAATCACTATCTCCCTGCCTACCAACATTTCCACCCTTCAGTCGAGCCTCACATGGGACAGGACAGGGGGGTTTCACTTGGCTTTCCGGACGTGGAAAAGGAAAATGTGCACCACCCTGTTGAGTCATGTTCTTTCTTAGAAAAACAGACATAAAAGGTGGGGGGTGTTAAAATGAGAGTCTATCATATCCTCTGTGTTTGCCCACACCCCTGTCCTCCCATCCCAGTGTCTGTCTGTCTACCCCAGTATAGCCAATCTCCTACTGGGCTGTCTCTACTGGGATGAGTCATAGCCATTATTAAGGAATGCTAACAGAGGATGTTATGATTAATGAAGCCTCATTAATTCACCACTAACTCCTGTCAACGCCTCAGAAACTATGTTTCAATAATCCTAATCTAAAATAAAGAATGTTGCTTCATCGGAAATATAGAGAGAGTCAGGAGGAAGGTTGTTTGGAATACTGTTTAATGCTAGGTAAATTATTGCAGACCCGAAGTGCAGCCGCTGCCAAGTCCACCATTTCAGTTCTTTAGTCTAACTGCCTCTGGCATAAACTGGGAGTAATGTACGTGTGTTTCCACAACATATACCACATTAGTGTTATCCCAAATCTACCTCACAAACGAGCAGGCCAGCCCTGCTCATGGGAATACCAGCTGAACGAACAACTTGTACGGAATTCCATCCCTCCACTTCTTCCATGCGTTTTATGAGCGCCTCTCATCCAACGGAAAAGCTGGCTTAGATTATAGAGGCAGGTTTGTTTCACCATTAGTTTTATAGACTCAAATGTAGCCCTGAAAATAAGACCACCTGAAAATAAATGATAGGGCTCTTTGCCAGCCTGTTTTCTCAGGGTCTGGGGAGAGGGGAGGGGTGTGGTGGTGGGTACGGAATCCCAGGCCTGCGTCCAGACACCCATAAAGAAGCAGGGTTGTGGTGGAGCTGTGGACAGAAGGAGCTCCAGAAATACAGGGCCCTGTTGGAGCCCTATTAGGATGAGGTAGGGGGCTCCCTGGCATGGTGTGTGTGGCAGGCAGGTGACTGCCCCAGATACAGATGGCCATAGGGAAGCCTAGCTTAGTTTAGCCTTGCTTACTCATTCTCTGTCTGCCAGTATCTATCATTATCTGTCTCTCTTCCTCACTGTCTCTCTCTCTCTCTCTCATCATTCTCTCTCACAGTCTTTCTCTCCATGTCGTTTATTATCCATATATAAACTCAGATGGTGAGATGTAGTTTCATGAAATTCCGTCAGGTGGTCATAGCGGTTTATGGTCCATCTGTCGACACGGGACAGTTTTCCTAAGCAGCCGATTGGCCTGGGCCAGAGAGCAAGATGACCAGTAGGGAAGGCAGCTTGTCTGGAAGCCCTCCACACCACAGAGCCCCTGTGATGGTGACTCACTCACTGTTGTTAGCACTGACGTGTTCTGACTTATAAACTTGAAAGATCTTTAATCATGTCAATAAGGTTGTTTTGATCACGCGGACTGGGATATGTTCCGGGTAGCTTCCGAAAATAATTTAGATGAATACACTGAAACGGTGACTAAGTTTATCAGGAAGTGTATAGGTGATGTTGTGCCCACTGTGACTATTAAAACCTACCCTAACCAGAAACCGTGGATAGATGGCAGCATTCGCGCAAATCTGAAAGCGCAAACCACCGCATTCAACCATGGCAAGTTGACTGGGAATATGGCAGAATACAAACAGTGTAGCTACTCACTCCGCAAGGCAATTAAACTGGCAAAACATCAGTATAGAGACAAAGTGGAGTCGTAATTCAACAGCTCAGACACGAGACGTATGTGGCAGGGTCTACAGACATTCACGGACTACAAAAGGAAAACCAGCCACGTCGCCGACACCGACGTCTCGCTTCCAGACAAGCTAAACACCTTCTTCGCCCGCTTTCAGGATAACACAGTGCCACTGACGAAGCCCACTACCAAGGACTGTGGCCTCTCCTTCTCTAGCTGCGTCCTCAGAGCATGCGCAGACCAGCTGGCTTGTGTGTTTATGGACATATTCAATCTCTCCCTTTCCCAGTCTGCTGTTCCCACATGCTTCAAGATGGCCACCATTGTTCCTGTACCCAATAAAGCAAAGGTAACTGAACTAAATGACTATCGCCCTATAGCACTCACCTCTGTCATCATGAAGTGCTTTGTGAGACTAGTCAAGGATCATATCACCTCTACCTTACCTGTCACCCTAGACCCACTTCAATTTGCTTACCGCCCCAATAGATCCACAGACGATGCAATCGCCATCACACTGCACACTGCCCTATCCCATCTGGACAAGAGGAATACCGATGTAAGAATGCTGTTCATTGACTATAGCTCAGCATTCAACACCATAGTACCCTCCAAGCTCATCATTAAGCTCGAGGCCCTGGGTCTGAACCCCGCCCTGTGCAACTGGGTCCTGGACTTCCTGACGGGTCAGCCCCAGGTGGTGAAGGTAGGAAACAACATCTCCACTTCGCTGATCCTCAACACTGGGGCCCCACAAGGGTGCATGCTCAGCCCCTCCTGTACTCCCTGTTCACCCATGACTGCGTGGCCAAGCACGCCTCCAACTCAATCATCAAGTTTGCAGACGACACAACAGTAGTAGGATTGATTACCAACAATGACGAGACCGCCTACAGGGAGGAGGTGAGGGCTCTGGGAGTGTGGTGCCAGGAAAATATCCTCTCACTCAACATCAACAAAACAAAGGAGATGATCGTGGACTTCAGGAAACAGCAGAGGGTGCACCCCCCTATCCACATCGACGGGACCGCAGTGGAGAAGGTGGAAACTTCAGGTTCCTTGGCGCACTCATCACCGACAAACTGAAATGGTCCACCCACGCAGACAGTGTGGTGAAGAAGGCGCAACAGAGCCTCTTCAACCTCAGGAGGCTGAAGAAATTCGGCTTGGCACCTAAAACCCTCACAAACTTTTACAGATGCACAATTGAGAGCATCCTGTTGGGCTGTATCACTGCCTGGTACGACAACTGGGGCCTGCCGAACGCGTTACCGGGGGCAAACTACCCGCCCTCCAAGACACATACAGCACCCGATGTCACAGGAAGGCCAAAAAGATCATCAAGGACATCAACCACCCGAGCCACTGCCTGTTCCCCCCACTATCATCCAGAAGGCGAGGTCAGTACAGGTGCATCAAAGCTGGAACCGAGAGAATGAAAAACAGCTTCTATCTCAAGGCCATCAGACTGTTAAATAGCCATCACTAGCACATTAGAGGCTGCTGCTGCCTATTGAAATCACTGGCCACTTTAAGAAATGGAACACTAGTCACTTTAATAATGTTTACATATCTTGAACTACTCATCTCATATGTATATACTGCATTCTATTCTATAATATTCTACTGTATCTTAGTCCATGCCGCTCTGTCATTGCTTGTCCATATATGTATATATTCTTAAATTCCATTCCTTACTAGTTTTGTGTGTATTGGGTATATGTTGTGAAATTGTTAGATATTACAGCACTGTCGGAGCTAGAAGCACAAGCTTTTCGCTACACCCGCTATAACATCTGCTAAACACGTGTATGTGACAAATAAAATTTGATTTGATTTGATTTGATAAGGGAGAGAGAGGAATGCAGGACGTGTACATTGTGTCAGAATGTTATTGAATTATCAGTTATCCTATAGAAAGGTGGAGTGCCATAGTCTGGTATACACACCAGAAGTTACTGGTTATCTGTAGGAGGAATGTATATGGTGGGGTCAATTAAGGTTGGATAGGAGCCAGGGGGCTTTGGAATGTATTGAGTAAAGGAGAGGCAATCACATGATTGCAGTCACTGAAAAGGGTGGAGAGCTGTGGATTAGTGAGGAAGGGGGTTGAAATCAGGTCAGGTCAGGTCAGGTCATATTAAGGGAGAAGGAACAGTTTATTGCCTGCATCACTTAACTTCCTTCCTAACAATAAACATGTCATGTTTAGAGGGAAGGAGGATACTTCACCCAAATAGGGGTATATATATTTGTGCTGGTGTAAACAGGTTTATGTATTTTCAGCTTGTTGACCCTTTGGGTGAATAAACTTGGTTTGAGCTTTCCGTGGAAGTGCATGCATTTTTTACTGTATATTTGTCAGAACCTAACAGCACTTATGGGACTCTGAGGATATGGTCAGGGGATACCTTTGTGAATAGGCTGACCCAAAGTTTAGTGTACTCACCATTCTCACACGTCTGTCCAGTGTAGCCAGCCAGACAGCCACAGTGGTAGGAGTAGGAAGTGCCCAGGATACAGGTACCATCATGGAGACAGGGGGAGGAGCTGCACGCTGCAAACACACAGGAGCAGGAAGGATGATTAGACACAAGAAATGGGCTATATAACAGCAGTAAAAAATATATTTACAAATAATTGCAGGCTTTCCTCACTCCTTCCCTTCATCTGCACTATTAAGGAGACCAGGAGAGTATACTTTGCTGTGTCCTTAGTATTGCTTTGAAATGCAGCAAAGGTTTTGTAGTAGATAGCTTATGTTGGGGATATGGCAAAAAAATAAAACAAACGGTATAAAAGTGAGAAAATACATTGTTGTTTAAATTCATACCTACTCTCCAACACCCATCCCTAAAAATGTACAGTAGCCTACTACAGTTTGTATTTTATGCTTGAGTGCAGCTGGCTTGCAGTACTGTGTTACAGTGTGTGTTCATAGTGATTGGGTTTGAATGAGGAACTGAGTGATAGGATAAGTTGGTACTTAATACGGGGTTTCTCTGTTAGGCTGCCAACCAGGGATCCCCAGGCATGAGTTTGATAAGGGTGTGCTCTGCTTAGTTTTCATAACAGTTAACATTCAGGTAGCTTTTTTCAACTTTCCCAACTTATGATGGACATTTCCATCCAAACCACAATTACAATAATGGATTTTGGTATTGAATTAGCATACATTTGCTACAAAATCCACTCCATAGTGATCTACTTAGTCACCATGAGAGTCATAGGTTTCCTCTCAGGCATGTATTGTTCCTACCTGAGCTCTCCTGGAAGGTGGCAAAGAAGCCGTCAAAGTTCTTATAGCCATCGGACACAAACAGGACGTGTAGGGAGTTGCCGGAGCTCTGGATTGGAGCAGGCCTGTCGTTCCCACAGAACCGACCAATCACACGAGAGTTGATGCTGTCACCATCACGCACCTCTACATAGTCGTAGCGACAGGAGTGGTCGAACTCCAGGCTCAGCATCTTGAACCTGTGGGTGGAGGGAGGTGGTTAAAAGTGTCTAGGGAGACTGTTCTAAATGATTTTACTGCACATGTAGCAGAGGTCAGCTGAGTTTATTTAGTGGTATTGACAGTTTACCTCAATGTGTAGTACTAATGGGAGTATGGGGTTTGGGGGGTTGGTTTGCTACACAAATTCACATACAGTGCATTCTGAAATAATTCAGACCCCTTGACTTTTTCCACATTTTGTTACGTTACAGCCTTATTCTAAAATGGATTAAATAAATAAATAAATAAAAATCCTCATAAATCTATACACAATACCCCATAATGACAAAGCGAAAACAGGTTTTTAGAAATCTTTGTTATTAATAAAAATAAATAAAACAGAAATACCTTATTTACATAAGTATTCAGACCCTTTGCTACGAGACTCGAAATTGAGCTCAGGTGTAACCTGTTTCCATTAATCATCCTTGAGATGTTTCTACAACTTGATTGGAGTCCACCTGTGGTAAATTCAATTGATTGGACATGATTTGGAAAGGCACACACTTGTCTATACAAGGTCCCACAGTTGACAGTGCATGTCAGTGCAAAAACCAAGCCATGAGGTCGAAGGAATAGTCCTTAGAGCTCCGACACAGGATTGTGTCGAGGCACAAATTCTGGGGAAGGGTACCAAAAAATGTCTGCAGCATTGAAGGTCCCCAATAACACAGTGGCCTCCATCATTCTTAAATGGAAGAAGTTTGTAACCACCAATAATCTTCCTAGAGCTGGCCAAACTGAGCAATCGGGGGAGAAGGGCCTTGGTCAGGGAGGTGACCAAGAACACTATGGTCACTCTGACAGAGCTCCAGAGTTCCTCTGTGGAGATGGGAGAACCTTCCAGAAATACAACAATCTCTGCAGCACTCCACCAATCAGGCCTTTATGGTAGAGTGGCCAGACGGAAGCCACTCCTCAGTAAAAGGCAAGCGAAAGCCCGTTTGGAGTTTGCCAAAATGCACCTAAAGACTCTCAGACAATGAGAAACATGATTGAACTCTTCAGCCTGAATGCCAAGCGTCACGTCTGGAGGAAACCTGGTATCATCCCTACGTGAAGCATGTTGGTGGCAGCTTTCTCTCGCTTTCCCAGACGTTTAGTTCATTTCATTCCGATCTCCTTTGCATTATTGTAGCCATTTTCTGTAGCCTGTCAACTATGCCTCTGTCTATCCCTGTTCTCTCCTCTTCGCACAGGCTATACAAACGCCTCATACAGCATGGCTGCTGCCTCTCTAACCTGGTGGTCCCTGCACGCACGACCCACGTGGAGTTCCAGGTCTCCGGCAGCATCTGGAACTGCCGTTCTGCGGCCAACAAGGCAGAGTTCATCTCAGCCTATGCTACCCTCCAGTCCCTCGACTTCTTGGCGCTGACGGAAACATGGATTACCACTGAAAACACTGCTACTCCTACTGCTCTCTCCTCGTCTGACCATGTGTTCTTGCATACCCCGAGAGCATCTGGTCAGCGGGGTGGTGGCACAGGAATCCTCATCTCTCCCAAGTGGACATTCTCTCTTTTTCCCCTGACCCATCTGTCTATCTCCTCATTTGTATTCCATGCTGTCACAGTCACTAGCCCTTTCAAGCTTGTCATTTATCGCCCTCCAGGTTCCCTTGGAGAGTTCATCAATGAGCTTGATGCCTTGATAAGTTCCTTTCCTGAGGATGGCTCACCCCTCACAGTTCTGGGTGACTTCAACCTCCCTACGTCTACCTTTGACTCATTTCTCTCAGCCTCCTTCTTTCCACTCCTCTCCTCTTTTGACCTCACCCTCTCACCGTCCCCCCCTACTCACAAGGCAGGCAATACGCTTGACCTCACCTTTACTAGATGCTTCTCTTCCAACACTACTCACTCTGCCCCTACACAGATGGTAATGCACCGTTGCAACGTTCGCTCTCTCTCTCCCGCTACTCTCTCCTCTTCCATCCTATCATCTCTTCCCTCTGCTCAATCTTTCTCCCTCCAATCTCCTGATTCTGCCTCCTCAACCCTCCTCTCCTCCCTTTCTGCATCCTTTGACTCTCTATGTCCCCTATCCTCCCGGCCGGCTCGGTCCTCCCATCCTGCTCCGTGGCTTGACGACTCATTGCGAGCTCACAGAACAGGGCTCCGGGTAGCCGAACGGAAATGGAGGAAAACTAGACTCCCTGTGGACCTGGCATCTTTTCACTCCCTCCTCTCTACATTTTCTTCATCTGTTTCTGCTGCTAAAGCCACTTTCTACCACTCTAAATTCCAAGCATCTGCCTCTAACCCTAGGAAGCTCTTTGCCACCTTCTCCTCCCTGCTGAATCCTACTCCCCCTCCACCCCCTCCTTCCGATCTGTGGATAACTTCGTCGCCCATTTTGAAAAAAAGGTTGACGACATCCGATCCTCGTTTGTTAAGTCAAATGACACTGCTGGTCCTGCTCACACTGCCCTACCCTATGCTTTGACTTCTTTCTCCCCTCTCTCTCCAGATGAAATCTTGCGACTTGTGATGGCCGGCCGCCCAACAACCTGCCCGCTTGACCCTATCCCCTCCTCTCTTCTCCAGACCATCTCCGGTGACCTTCTCCCTTACCTCACCTCGCTCATCAACTCATCCTTAACCGCTGGCTATGTCCCTTCCGTCTTCAAGAGAGCGAGAGTTGCACCCCTTCTCAAAAAACCAACACTCGATCCCTCTGATGTCAACAACTACAGACCAGTATCCCTTCTTTCTTTTCTCTCCAAAACTCTTGAGCGTGCCGTCTTTAGCAAACTCTCTTGCTATCTCTCTCAGAATGACCTTCTTGATCCAAACCAGTCAGGTTTCAAAACTGGTCATTCAACTGAGACTGCTCTTCTCTGTGTCACGGAGGCTCTCCGCACTGCTAAAGCTAACTCTCTCTCCTCTGCTTTTGTCCTTCTAGACCTGTCTGCTGCCTTTGATACTGTGAACCATCAGATCCAACTCTCCACCCTCTCCGAGTTGGGCATCTCCGGCGCGGCTCACTCTTGGATTGCGTCCTACCTGACCGGTCGCTCCTACCAAGTGGCGTGGCGAGAATCTGTCTCCGCACCACGTGCTCTCACCACTGGTGTCCCCCAGGGCTCAGTTCTAGGCCCTCTCCTATTCTCGCTATACACCAAGTCACTTGGCTCTGTCATATCATCACATGCCCGCTCCTATCATTGCTACGCAGACGACACACAACTAATCTTCTCCTTTCCCCCTTCTGATAACCAGGTGGCGAATCGCATCTCTGCATGTCTAGTAGACATATCAGTGTGGATGACGGATCACCACCTCAAGCTGAACCTCGGCAAGACGGAGCTGCTCTTCCTCCCGGGGAAGGACTGCCCGTTCCATGATCTCGCCATCACGGTTGACAACTCCGTTGTGTCCTCCTCCCAGAGTGCGAAGAGACTTGGTGTGACCCTGGACAACACCCTGTCATTCTCCGCTAACATCAAGGCGGTGACCCGATCCTGCAGGTTCATGCTCCACAACATTCGGAGAGTACGACCCTGCCTTACACAGGAAGCGGCACAGGTCCTAATCCAGGCACTTGTCATCTCCCGTCTGGATTACTGCAACTCACTGTTGGCTCTGCTCCCTGCCTGTGCCATTAAACCCCTACAACTCATCCAGAATGCCGCAGCCCGTCTGGTGTTCAACCTTCCCAAGTTCTCTCACGTCACCCTGCTCCTCCGCACACTCTACTAGCTTCCAGTTGAAGCTCGCATCTGCTACAAGACCATGATGCTTGCCTACGGAGCTGTGAGGGGAACGGCACCTCCGTACCTTCAGGCTCTGATCAGTCCCTACACCCAATCGAGGGCATTGCGTTCATCCACCTCTGGCCTGCTGGCCCCCCTACCTCTGTGGAAGCACAGTTCCCGCTCAGCCCAGTCAAAACTGTTCGCTGCTCTGGCACCCCAATGGTGGAACAAGCTCCCTCACGACGCCAGGACAGCGGAGTCACTCACCACCTTCCGGAGACACTTGAAACCCCACCTCTTTAAGGAATACCTGGGATAGGATAAAGTAATCTTTCTACCCCCCCTTACCCCACCCCCCCAAAAAAAAAAAAAATATTGTAAAGTGGTTATCCCACTGGCTATAAGGTGAATGCACCAATTTGTCAGTCGCTCTGGATAAGAGTGTCTGCTAAATGACCTAAATGTAATGTAAGTACTGTGTAAAGGGTCTGAATACTTATGTACATTTTATATTTCAGTTTATTTCGTTTTTATACATTTGCAAAAGTTTCTACCAAACAGTTTTTGCTTTGCCGTTATGGGGAATTGTGTGTAGATTGATGAGGAATAAATTATTTTTATCCATTTTAGAATAAGGCTGTAAAGTAACAAAATATGGAAAAAGTCAAGGAGTCTGAATACTTTCCGAATGCACTGTACATACTGTAGAACTCCACACCTTGAAAAACTTGGACACTGATATCTGTCTACAGCCAAAATATTGCAAGTGAAAAAATGTATGTTGACAAAGTATCTGTTCTCTTGCAGTGACATTTAAAAGGTGGATATCTTCAGAAGCCAATTGGCACGGTTTGTTTTAGCTAGTCACTTATACCATTCAGTCATCCAGTCATTCTTCTGTTTAGTCCAGCCAGAAAGTTTTCATTGCAGTAGCCAGGCCTGGATTTTCCATATCAAACCAGTCAACAGGTTCCTCACTTGGCTCCACTCAAAACTAATGGGAAGTAAACATCATGTAAATTGCTCATTACTACACCTCGTCACCCCCCTTTACTCTGAGTTGGGAGACTGTTCTCTTGTTTTCCTGCTAGAGCCTTTGTTTTCCTGGAGCAGCAGTGAGAAGGAGTGCCTCCCTGGCTTTCCTGGCTCTGCCACCCTGGCTGGCAACATCTCACACCCCTGACTCTTTTACTACAGCCAGCAGGCGAGCAATGAACAGCAATCAGAGCCAATTAACACGGTAATGGCTCCAACGAGTGATTCCCCCACTTTGCACGACTCACTTCCTTTTAATGGAGG